AGGGGGGGTCTGTGCTCTGGGGAGCCCCTCAGACACTCTTTATAAGAGGGAGGGGGGTCCATGCTGTGGGTAGCCCCTCAGACACCCCCCATAAAGGGGGGAGGGGGGTCTATGCTGTGGGGAGCCTCTCAGTCCCTGTCCCCCCACAAAGGGAGGACGGCAGGGCCCTCCTGATGGGGGTCTCATGTCCCAGGAGGCTGATGTCAAGCCCCTGGGGTCTGTCCCCTGTCCCCAAGACAGATGGGTACCAGGCCGTGCTGGCAGGGCGCTGGGGACGGATGGTGCTGAACACATTTCGTGGGTAAAAATAGACCTTTGGTGTTTGGGAGCCAGCTGTCACCTGCCCCACCGATGGGCAGACAAACACATTCCTGCAGAGGTTCTGCCTTTCCCTGATGTTTTTTGGGATGCTTTCTCTCCTCTGCCCTCGCTGGGTAGTTACATTTTTTGTCTTCCCCCTTTCACTGGTCTGGGTGAAAAGCTGTGGCACAGACAGACCTGTGGGATCATGGATACTGAGGTTAAACTCAGGAATTCCCTCCTCTGCTTTGTTTTCCCTTTCAATTTCTTCTCCCAGTTATTTTTCCCATCACTGGTTCATTCTTCTTCTAACGAACCAACCCTTGTTCTCAGCTGCCACAAAAGCTCAGGGCATTGTTCTCCATCTGTTGTTGCTCTTAATTAGATTTTCTTTTAATGCTATTTGCCTGGCTTATTTATGGAGGGGGAGAAAAGTGAAATAATGCATCTCTCTTCAGTTAGACTTGTCTTCACAAAACATATCTATGTTCTAGATGAGCAAATGACTCCCCCTCCCCGTTCCTCTTCTTCCTGTGCGTCTTCAGCACCCTGGGGAAGGGCACCTTAGGTAAAGATTGGTTTTGGGGTAATCTGTTTCAGACAAAAATATATGGTCTGCAAATTATTTTCCTGATGGTTACAGTGATTTGAGCAGTAATGGGTAGAGCCTGATGGTGGTTTTCAGGTTGGGCCAACCCAACAGGATGCGTAATACCGCTTAAACGATAAGGGAGTTCTCCTTTGTTGGGAAGTCTTGAATAACCGAGTTTTTTATCGTTGTCTTTTCTTTTTCCTTTTAGACGGTGTTTGTCGGAAAGAACAAACCGCAGAAAAATCCGCTGAGCTCCTTCCGCTGGCAGGGCTTCAAGCTGGAGGAATATCTCATTGGCCAACCCATCGGGAAGGGCTGCAGCGGCGCAGTGTACGAAGCAGCGATTCCTTTCTCTCGCGATTGTCAGGGGAGTGCGGAGAGCAGCCGCGTCGCAGGGCAGGGGGATCGTGGCTCGGCTTCACAGGCGGCTGAAGAGGAGCCCGGAGAGAAACACCAACAGGCTTTCCCGCTAGCTATCAAAATGTTGTGGAATATTTCGGTAAGGAGTCGGTTCTTAGTCTCTTTTCAAAGTCGAGAAGGGAGTCCCTTTGATCTAGTCTCAATTCGTCTAACTCCAGATGACAGTGCCAGCATCAGGATTATTTGTTTTCAGTCTGTATGGAGGCTGGCTGATTTTGGAGCTGAAATTATTGCAATTGCTGTTGCAGGCGGGTTCATCAAGCGAAGCCATCCTCAATGCCATGGGCCCGGAGCTTGTTCCAGCCACGGGGATGGCCTTAGCGGGAGAATACGGAGCCGTCCCTGGATGCAGGTACAGTCGCTGTGGAAATGGCAGCGGTTCTCGAGTGGTAACATGCTCATTTTATCCATCAATTAATTTTGTAGCACATCTGCACTGGTAAGAAGATGGGCAGAGGTTTCTGTAAGAGTTCCTGAAAGCAGATAAAGCAAAATCTTGGGATTATTAATGGCTCAGGAGGTGTGTACACATGTTTGGGCTAAACAGCGGTGCCTTCAGAAGTGCCGCAAACCTCAGACATCACGCAGGGACGTGCTGCTGGCTGCCTTGGGGATTTTTCTGCCCAGGAAGGTGGAAACTGTTTTAGTGCAGGGAAGCTGGCGAGAAAAAAAAAATGGAAAATTGCTTGTTTCCCACTCTTTCACCCGAGTGAGAAGTGAGCAAATTGGCATGAAGGTGGAAAATTGCACAGAAATTCTGAAATTATCTTGAGTTAGCTATTTGTTCAAAAATGCATCTTGCTGTTTGATTGAAACAATGGAGACTGCAGTCCAGATTGTCTGATTTAAATTTCAAATATATTTCAGCTGCTGATAGAAATGAATAATGAATGCTGTGTGGTACGGCGCGAGCTGAGAACGCAGCAGAGCAGCCGAAGGGATATTTGACATTCAGGGGATGAAAGGGGAGAGATCTGTTTGCAGATACAGATCAGGAACCTGCCTGTCCTTGCAGTGGGCGCTTCCTGCCTGTGCCATCGATTAGGGGGTCTCAACTGATATGCCTAGTGTGGAGCTGACCTTTATTTTATGTCTCACAAAGTAATTGTGTTTGTTTTGGGGTTTTTTTTCCCTCTAAAGCTGTGATTGTAGTTCTTTTTGAGCCTGGGACTGGCTCTGTCTTTGTGAGCAGTGTAGAAGGGCTGCACGTTAAGCGTAAGGGTTTCCAGCAAAGCTTCTTTTGCAGCGCAGGTAAAGCACCAGTATTTCCAGTCTGGCCGTCATATATAGGGATGTCCAGTTACAGCAGAGTGTTTGTGAGAGCCACAGGTGAAGTCTTGGTGTATCAGCAGCTGGTGCTGCCCTGCTGCGGACGGTTCAGGCTGCTGTGGGAAGTGCCGGGGTGGATTCTGAACTCCTGCCTGCTGCTGCGGTGGATCTGCCCGGGCTGTGGGCGCTTTGCATCAGCGTGGGAAACGCTGGGCTGAGGTGTCAGGAAATGGCCGTGAAGGCAGGGAGGTTGCTGTCCCTGTTCTTTCTGACCAAATGGTTTCCAGGATGTGAACGTTCGAATGTGCAGCCCTGTAATCTGTACTCAGCAGCCGTAATGCTCTCTGTAATAAGGTTTTCACTGCAGAATAAACGTGTTTGCACTCTACTTTGGAACTCTCTGGTGGGGGGAAAAGGCCATATTAATGAAAAGTCATTCCAGAAATAAGAGATGTGTCTGTGATAAACCAGAACTGACCTGTGGTATTTATATTTTTGCACAGAAAACCTGTCCTGGGGAGGAAGAAGCTACAACCTCATCCAAATATCATCCAGGTGATTCGAGCGTTCACATCCTCAGTCCCTTTGCTGCCCGGAGCCTTCACAGACTATCCCGATGTTCTTCCGTTAAGCCTGAATCCCAGAGGGATCGGTCACAGCCGCACACTCTTCTTGGTGATGAAGAAGTAGGTTGAGAGAAGCTTGTTAATGTGATTTTTGCTTTTCGTGAGCCTGCCCAGCGGGGCTGTGTTCTGCTGCTACACGGGTCCTTGCAAAGATTTGGCCTGGGCTGCTGCCAAAAAGCAGAGTACGCTCTTGGAAATGCCTCCTAAGACCTGTGCCAAGTCCTTGAGTTTAACTCTTGTTCGACGGCGAAGACAAGCTGTTCTTTTTAATAATTACCCCAAATTAGAGTAAGAAATGTGAAGCTTGTCTACATTTGTCTGCCCTTCTGAGTCTGAACTTCACCCCTAGTCTGAACATGCCGCTAGAGACGGAGTAGAATCAGTAATGAGGTTTATTAGTGCTCGGCATCGCTGCCTTTCTCAGCTGGGTTTTGGTTTTGAGTAAGTATTGCAGTGCCTTTGACACAGAAGCACCTTCTGTTTCCCACTCTTTTGTTCTGGCTGTGTCTGGAGAAGCTCTCTGTCCTCTCTGTATTTCAGGAATATGTTCTTTCAATCAGCACATCTCATTTTGCTCATACTATCTGTGTTATTAATCTCCCTCCTCTTCTGTGCAAAATATAACACCAGTACATAAAAACCTGTCAGAATGACCACTGGAGTCCCTCGCTGTGCTCTTTAAGAGCCTTCTTTTATTCACAGTTGTTGATCTTGGGCGAGAGTGCCAACAATTGAGTGGTGAGTGTTGTTGCCAAACAGGATTTGAGAACAGGGGAGCAGTGTCAGGGTGAGGCTGGGAGGTGGGAAGGCATTGCAGAGGTCACATTCGAGCGTGCTGTGTCCCCAGCCAGCCAGCACTGAGGTTGAACTGCAAGCCGTAAGCTTCCAAGAGCTAATTCAGAGTTTTCCCTTGTTCTAACTAGTTATCCCTGCACGCTGCGCCAGTATCTGAAGGAGAGCTGTCCGGATGTTCGTCTTTCCACGATGATGATTTTACAGCTCTTGGAAGGCGTGGACCATCTTGTTCGACACGGAATAGCACACAGAGACCTGAAGTCTGACAACATCCTGGTTGAATTTGATTCTGGTAGGTAGCTCATTGAGTCAGTGATGATTAAGTCCCACACAGGAGTGGAAAAATGAGCATCAAACCCTTTGAAGAGTCTCAGGTTTTGTTTTTAGCTTATGGCTTGCTGTCGCTGCAGCTCTGGGGAAGTCATTTGTCCTGTCTGTGCCTCAGGTTTTGGATTATTAAAACAAACTTGAAAGGAGCGTTGCTCTGTAATCAGATGGACAGACGCAGGGCGATGCGTCGCAGAAGCACAGCGATCGTTGGTGGGAGCAGATGGGATGTATAGTAATGCCACGTTTGCGAGGCTGGAGGTGCCTTTGCTTCAGGCTCTTGGCTCTGTCACCAGCATTTTCATCATCTTGTTCTCCTGTCAGCCTCTCTGACTGAGATTTTAATTACCTGAGCTCTTTTCCAGTGTGACTGAGATTTAAACAGGCAGGAAACAGTAAGAGGCAGGCAGATCTGTGTAATTAAAGGTCTTGGTACAGCAGCTGTGGAAGGTTTTCAGCGATACTAATGCCATCCTCCTTTTCTCGAAGGGAAAACTTCTCTGGAGCTATCCTGAATGCAGTTAGCAATGATCTGAAGTGTCGATTTTTTCCGTATCGGGGCCTGGAGAAGTAATGATTCTACTTTGCAGTGTCTGACTTGTCATCAGGACAAGGACTGTTAACTAAGGCAACGTTTCTCCAGCCTTTTGCTAGAGCTGAGTGTACATCTGTATGCTGATAGCTTCTGCTACAGATAGAAAAAAAGGGAAAAAAATATATTCCTCCGTCATGGATGAGTCTCTAACCTTATGTGTCTTCAGTTTTATGGTGTCTGCGACATTTTGAGAGACTCGTGTTCCACGGGGAGCAGTAATATCCTCTAAAGAGGAAATAAAAGAACAAGTTTTGTTTTAATAAAACCAGTATTTCACCTAATAATAGAGGTGAAGCAGGAGAACGGCGTGTGGTCATGCTGGTTCCTGGGGGTACTGAGGCTGATCCAGAGCAGCGTCTCTGCTGTTGCTGTGATGTGGTGTCTGATGCAGCCAGGTCCTCCCGAACCGAATGCTAACTCTGCTAGTCCTGTGTTGTTTGCAGCTGGCTGCCCCTGGCTGGTGATCACGGACTTCGGTTGCTGTTTGGCAGATGAAAGCATCGGCTTGAAGCTGCCTTTCACCAGCTCTGGCATGGATCGGGGCGGCAACGGCTCTCTGATGGCACCCGAGGTAAATTCCCTGGTAGAAATGGTTTACTTTGCTGACATAACTCGGTCGTGCAAGGCAGCACCTGTAGCTGGTTGTGCAACTGTTCTCGCCCTACACTCCATCGTGGAGAGCCATGTTCCGTACCACATCGTAGGTCCATGTCCTACCTTCAGTTATGCTTGCTAAACATCTCTGCGTTAATAAAAAAAGTGCTTTTGGACCTGTGCTGAGCCGTTGTCAAGCGGACATGTTGAGCACTGAAAGGTAAAACATAATCAGTTGGTGTTAAGAAGCAGAACTGACCTTTCCCACAAACAGTTTGCTCTTCTGTCTTTTCCTGGGCCCCTTTCTGTGTAGCTATTAAAGAAGTTTGTGCAGTAATCCTTGTGTTGTGACAGTAGTTTCTGGATGAAGTTCAACATGGCTGTGAAATTATTTACAGTTCCTTTTTATTTCTCTGTAATAAAAGCAAAGACACCCTTCACTGCCCACTTGACCCGCAGCACCTTGCCTTGCTGAAGTGCTGGTGCAGTGTGGGTTGGTCATTGGCATGTCTCCTTTCTACCTAAAATCCCAGAGGGAAATAGCCCTCAGGACTGGTCAGGGGTGACAACTAAATCCCAGGCACAATGACCAGCCTCCTCCTGGTGTCCTGGTGAGCTGAGCAGTGTCGAGAACATGCCAACAAGAAATATTTACACCAGGGATTTAGATAAAACCTAGCTTTGGTTTCACTCTCTATTTCTTACAGCAGAAGTGCTGACTCAACCCTTGAAAATTAGTTTTAGCACAAAGCCCACACCGGAGCTGTTCATTTGAACGTCCCCATCTCTGTGACAGGTGAGCACAGCATCATCAGGTCCGGGCGCGGTGATCAACTACAGCAAAGCCGACGCTTGGGCTGTTGGAGCAATTGCTTATGAAATCCTCGGCCTGGCCAATCCTTTCTACGGCTACGGGGACTCAGCTCTGGAAAGCAGGACTTATCTTGAAGAGCAGCTGCCGAGCCTGCCCGATCACGTGCCGCCGGAGGTGAAACAAGTGATAAAGATGCTGCTTCAGAGGGATCCCAATAAGGTAGGAAGCTGGGGTCTTGAAGAAGTCATCCAGCAAGGCTTTGGAAGTGTTGTCTGTAGATTTTTTTTCTTTCGAAGGCTCAGGACTGTAATCTTGATACTCCTGCAGTCTAGGTAACGATCAGAGACAAACACAAGGTCTTTGCTGGAGTACAGTGCAGCCTCTCACACGTGGCACTGAATAGTTTCAGGGTTTTTGCAGATGTTTGTGGGACCGGACTGTGAATTGGGGGGGTTACATTCAGTTGCTTGATAATAAATAGTCACAAAGAGCTTTTTTATTCACAGAGGCTTTGTGGTGCCTTAGAGGAGGCCTGAGGGACTTTTGGCATCATAGATGCTACCTGCTAGCGATGTGACAGGATTGCAGCAGGATCAGTTAATCTTCCCTCTCCTTCCCTTTGCAGAGGTTGTCTGCTAGAGTTGCTGCTAACGTGCTTCACCTCAGCCTCTGGGGTGAAAGCGTTCTAGCATCCAAGACCCTGCAGCCCGACCAGATGATCGCCTGGCTCCTCTGCCAGTCTGCGGCTGCTCTGCTGATGGATGGACTGGTGGATAAAAGCCGGGTAGAAACCAAAATGAAGATGTGCTTTTTGGCAAACCTCGAGTATGAAGACCTCTGGACAGCGCTATTCCTGTTGCTGGCCTGGAGAAGCCGGTGTGGGTGAAGAGTCTGAGACACGATGGTGCGGTAGATAAACAGCACTTTTTAACAGCACATAGGAATCTGTCATTTCTGTCTGCCCGGAATCCTGTAGGGCTTTAGGGAACAAAACTGCAGGTCTGTGTTGAAGAGATTGAGTTTCTAGCGAGCATTAGCATGCGCTGCTTTTCTCTTCCTGCTAGAGGAAGCGCCCTCACTGTGTTATTCTCTTGGTATAAGAGTGTGTGGACCTTGCAGGTGTCCTGAGGTACGTGGTTGGTTTTGCTCACATTTGGGAATTCTTGATTGATTTCTGAGTCATGTTTAATGAAGCAAATTCCCTTTCGGAAGAGGGGGTGTGTGTGGGAGGAGGCACTGTCTAGCTGCTCTGTACACGGAAGCGTCACAGATTTAAACAATACACTGAGAAAGGGACATGCAATCTTTTATTTTCTTAGGGAAACTGACAGTATTCATATGATGATATTTCTCTGCAGCCGGATCTTGCTATAAAATTACATCCTGAAAGCCTCCTGGTGCAGTGCTGCCTGGTAACGTGAGCGTCAGGAGCTGCTCGCTTCTCAATAACACGCCACTAAACATCTTGCTAGCTGTACGCAAAACAGACAAAGTTCATTGAGCTCCAAACCCACTTAGATTTGTTTCTTGGCTGTCGTAGCTGCTGCTGCAGGGTCCAAGGCTGAGGCTAACTGTGTCCAGTTAGGATAATGCTGCAAAAAACCCAGGGCTAACCTGCTGAAAGGGTTTAGTGTGATCCTCTTCTGTTTTACCTCCCTGTTTTTTCTGTTGAACGATGAAGTAACATCCTTTGGTGGGTGAGGACAGGAGGCAGCGATGTTTGAGCAGCAGCAGTCACGTTTACGAAAACATCATTGGATTTAATGTCTGTAATTGTGTTAAGAGGAACTCGGGAGGAAGTTCTGTATGCTTGTTGGACAATAAATTGAAGAGGAAGCTCTGCTGCTGAGTGGGTTCTCTAAATCCAGTTCGTCTGTTGATGGGAGCCAGGCTTTAGGAGCCGAGGGAGCCATGTAGCCCTGGCTCTGGCATGTCGTAAAAGATCGCTCAGCTCTTTCCAGTCCTGTCTCCGAAACACGTTATTTTATTCCAAGTGGAGTTTCCCAAAGAGGAGCAGACCTTGCCTCGGGAATGTGCCCGTTTCATACTCTCCTGCACGGAAAATCCCTGCAATTTCCAGGTTGATGACCTTGTGTGTGAAATGGCCGATGGCCTTGAGCAGATCATCACGCAGTAACATGCTAGCGCGGTCTCGCACGCTGAAACGGCGTCTAGGTCGGCAACAGAGCAAAATTCCCTACCGAAATGGCCCTGCTCCTTTTGCCCGTGAACACAGCACGCTGCTGGGGCTGTAAAGAGGCTCGGCGAAGAGCACAGAGCCTGGGAAATTGCAGGAAAAGAGCTCTTTGGGCAAAAAGGTGCGGAAAATGAACTGTTTAATCTTGGTCTGACCCAAGCCAAAGCTGCTACTGCCTTTTCCTGCATACTGAGTGCTTGTAGCACATTTTTTGCTGCCTTGAGTTTGTGTGCGCTCTCCTGTGAGCTCTGTCCCCCTCTATCCATCCACGAGGCCAGTTCTTGGACACCGTGGAGCTTTTTGAAGGGTAAATACTGTCACTTTTCTGGCAGATCTCTGACATCTCCTTCTGTCGTTCTGCTGTCTGCGCCAGCAAGAGCTGGGCCGCTCAGCAAGATGCAGTTCCCGTTGTTGATGTGCCGAGTCTTTTCTTGTCCCTGCCGTACGGGACTTGGAATACACACATGTTCCAAATCCAGACCGACTGTGCGGAACCGGCTTTCTGCTGTGAATGTTCTGGTTTTTTTTCCCTTGCCTTTCTCTCCCAGGTCCAGTTGCTACATGAGCAGGGAGCAGAATTCGGAGCTGGAGCCATCTGATTTCAATCGTGTCGTTATTAGGCCAACCTGGGTTTGATCTGTGCTGGTTAACTCCAGACACTGGAAACTTACTTCCCCTGGAAATCATCTCATTTCATCTCTCTGTCCTCAAAAATGGTCTAAAACGCTTCTCCTGCAGCACCGGTTCTGATTCTTAAATCCCTGTTACTGCTTCTCGCTTGCTTGCATTTTGTCTGTCTGCAGTTTTGCCGAGGTTAGATTTTTTTTTTGTTTTCTTTCACTGCCTGCCTTCCGTTAATGAGACATTTTTATGATTATTCAGCATTCTGGGTGCTTTTTTAAAGTGCCGTTTATATGCTGTTAATGCAACAAATGCCGCCTTATATTCTGCACGTGCCAGAGGGGAGCATTTCCCAGCATGTCCCTCTTGTCGGAGATGCTCAAGCTGAAGTCCCTTGCTGACACGTTTATTCACAGTGTTTTCTGGGAAGCAAACCATGCCGTGGGGAAAGAGGGTGTGGCTGGGAGGAGGGGTTCAAAGCCTGAGCCAAATCTGTGGCCTTCTGACCGCCCTTTGAACTCCGGGCAGGGCGGAGGGAGGGATGGCGGAGGCAGCCCGGCCCCTCCGCCCCTCCCAAGCCGGGACAGCCACCGCAGTGCCCCTCGCTCTGCTCCCTGCGGGGCAGAGGGTGGGAGCCCGTGGGGCAGGATGAACATCCTGCTCCGGGCTGGCTGCAGCCAGCTGCTGCCCTGGGAAGCCGGGCTCCATGCTCGCAAGCGGGCTGCGTTTGCG